TATCTATAACCGTTGCGTACATGAACAGTATCACGGTCATCACGTTATCATGTGACAACCGTGATGCCACTTCCTTGTCATCCCATAGGTCTAAGATGTCACGCCTCTTATCCTGTAATTTCATTGCCTGTCTTCAACAGATTATAAACCAAGCTTGGCTGCTGAAATAGGTGAGACTGATATACCCTCCCTTCCGATCGAACCCCATACCGATTCAAATTCGAGTCTGGATGGAGATTACGACGGCCTGAACCAAAGTTCGGATCCCTAGCGGTGCCCTCAGACTAAAGTCGTATCCCTCAGACGGGAGTTGGCCTTCAGCCGCTCCATAAGTTCTTCCTTTGGTTTAGAGTGCCACCTGCACTCGCCCCCTATCGTCCGGTGAAGCTGTAAAGGCCAGCAATTAGAGTAGTCCGAAAAAAATTACATACCCATGCATCCACTTTTTACATGCAAGTGACGTCATTTGGTTACAGATATGACGTTATGACTTTGTAAATATTGCGACTCGGTTTCCAGAAATCAGTGCCTGCATTACGTTTTCAGACAATTAACTTTATCTATTGTTTAAATAACATTTCTATTAAGTCGGTCTGTCTATCGATTGCGCAATAACATCTTATTACTATACTAGTGGCATACCCTTGCTTCGCTCGAATTTACAGAACATGTGACGACTGTGTTACGTGCATAATTTATTATTTCCGTCATACTCCGTCATCCGTCATACTCGTGAACGAGTGCTGCTTGGGACTGGTCTGTTCGGGTTGCGAATACTGATTTGACTATTTACTTTTGCAATAGCATGTGCTGGTGGTCACTCTTTTCCCAAATTTGAATTTAAAAATGAATCTGTATTATTGTAAACATTTACAACATATATTTGAAAATAATACGAGCTGAGTTTCTTGTCAGTTCTTCTCATCTCGAAATCATTCCGTACTGACGGTAGATTTGACATATCATAAGAATCATTAATAGACCTACTACCTAATATATAATACAAGGATTATATTTACCACGATCCTAAGTCCATATCTATCGATTTTTTATTTATTGTAAATATAAATTAAATTCCACGCGTACAAAGTCGGGGGTAACGACTAGTAGTAAATTAAAACGGTTATAACTATAAGCAGATGTTGATATTGAAATGGCTCGGGGACAGTGAAGCTAACGCTCCGCCCACCATCCACCACCACCACCAATAAACCCATAACCCATAGACAAAAACCATAAATAAAGACACTTACATTACAACATTTAATATTTACACGCTGTTTTACTATCAATCAGAACCTCCAAAAACCCCCTCTGGGGAGATAAAGAAAACAATTATACCTATCCATTAGCTTTTTGTGTTTTTTTTTCTATAAACGCGTGGGTTGTATTGTCTGTGCATAATTTTATAATAATCAGGTCAATGATCCGAGTTATATATCTAACTTGTTGTACCCGCGACTGCGTCCGCATGGAATTTTAATTTATTTTTCTAAAATAAAAGTAGCCTAAGTTACTCCTTATTATTTTAGCTACCTGGCAATAAAAGTCCCGTCAAAATCGGTCCAGCTATTTCAGAGATTAGTTGGAACAGACAGACCGACAGACAGACAAAAATTGTAAAAATGTCGTTTTTCAGTGTATGTACCGTATTTGTATGTAGTAAAAAACAGTTATTTCAATACTACAAACAGACACTCCAATTATTTATATGTATAGATGCCGCGTCGAAACAAAAATGGATTCCCCAAAATTGGGCCCAACAAACTGACCAATCCTAATGTGCGCATGTAGTGTACACATAAATAACGCCCCTCCCCAACCCTGGGGCGAGGAAGTCCCTCATTTAGGGGGGCAGCGACCCGTGAAGCCCCCTACTTTTGGACAGCACGAATTAAATGCTAATAAGGTAGCTGATCGGCCGATATCGTGTCTTGAGGAAACAATTTTTGTATCACACGGAGATTTTAAATGGACAATATCTGGGGCTTTTATGAGTGTTATACAACCACTTTATGGACGGTTGTGGTCTAGTGGCTTAGACAGTATAGTGAGTTCAAATCTGATCGATTAAACTAAGAGCAATAGGTATTTTTAATTTTCTAGAAAAAATCTTTAGTTAAGATTTTTTCGATAACTAACGTTACAATAAAAGAATAACAAAGTAAATAAATGTAATATTCTTTCTGTCAATGGAAATGACATAAACAATAAAAAAAAATTTGTGAACCATCAATCACTTAGGAGTATGAACAATAGATAACATATTCTCAGATCTACTAAATGTTTGTGCCGTGCGAGGAATCGAACTCGCGACCATCAGTAGTAAAGCGGCGTGCTAAACCGCTAGACCACAGGCCATCTCCGATATCTATACATATAAATAATTTTGGAGTGTCTGTTTGTAATATTGAAATAACCGTTTTTAACTACATATGAATATAAATAAAACACCAAAATAACATTTTTAACAATTTTTGTTTGTCTGTCTGTTTGTTCCGGCTAATCTCTAAAATGGCTGGACCTATTTTGACGGGACTTTTATTGGCAGATATCTAATGTAATAAGGATTAACTTAGGCTACTTTTATTTTCGAAAATAAATTCCACAGCTAGTGTCACATATATATATATATATATATATAAATGAGCAAAATTTAAACAATATGGGAACACATGTCGCACGCTGGCCAAGTATAGTAAATGTCGGATGAAATAATTGTATTCTTAAGGCTTTATGTAAATGGATTCATTGTTTATACGTGCGACGTGAATGGCGGATTGTTCCGCGCGTTTTTTTCTTATTTGTTAATTTAATTCGTCCGCCGCTTAGCAGTCGGTCTGAGACGCTATTTTGTAATTTACAATTACAGTTTTATTGTAATTTACAATTACAAAACTGTGCGCATTACACTGGCGTGTAATATGTGTTCATTTGGAACCATAAGGGAATCTTTATGGGGATTTGTTGTTCTGATTTAAATTCAAAAATTCAAAATTCAAAAATCATTTATTCATGTAGGACATTTTAGCCGCTTATGAACGTCAAGTTTTTACTTTAAAATTTTTTTTTCCCTACCGTCGTAAAAAAAAAAATTTTGAACAATAATAATAATCTCAGGACAATTCACACAGCGCCATCTAGAATCAAGTTAAGTTAGCTAAAGTACTAGATAATTGATACAAATAATACATACATAATACAAACAATCATGAGTATAATTGTTTGTGTACTGGGTGTTTTCATGACTATAATGTATGTTTATTTGTATCAGTTATCTAGTACTCATGCTAGATGGTGCTGTGTGAATCGCAAACAATCATCGGACTATAAATGTTTGTGGCGTGCGAGGAATCGAACCCACGATCATCGGAAGTAAGGTGTGATTAACAACTAAACCACCGAGGTCATCAATATCCTTAAAATGGAGGTTTTTTAAGTATTCTTATCTACCGATATTACTTCTAGTATGGTATTTGTTTTTCTTAGGTTCTATATACATACCGACTTTGTATAAAGTAATATAAGTGTGTGTTTCCTCTTATTTCTTCTAAGCAGCTTATTTCGGTTGTATGTTGAGATTAGGCATTAAATATACGCAGCTATGACATTGAAATGTAACCAATTGCTTTTTTATGACATTCGAAATCATTTTAGTTTGTTAACGATGTTTCCATTATAAGACAGTCAGTCAGTTATGTAAATTGACATTAATATTAGTGTCGAAGAAATCAGATTTATTTGAATAAAGAATTTTCTATTCTATTCTATTTATCTTGACATTTCTATATAAGTCGTAGTCGTTATTTACTGAGATAAAATGTTGAAAATCATAGCTGTATGTAAAAGTAGGGATTAAAACACATTGCTTCTTCTTTACTAGTTTGTTACAAATTCACTCCTCACTATGTATTTAATAATCTCACAGATTAATAATTACAAACAATATGCAGATTCGCAATCTTATCACCGCTACTGAATAGATAAGTACGTTTTACAATGCATTCATACTTTGTAAATATTACAAAATTATATTTATGTTGCATCTGTGCAAGCAATAAATACCTATACGACTATATGTTACTCTGTGCCATGAGCCGAGATAAATTCCATTAAATATTTACTCATTGCGACTTCACCTAATTGGGACATACAATTTACATGTAGCGATTGTCAGATAATTTTGTAATTAACAAATTTCTAAAAGAAAACATGTTATAATTAAAAATAGGATTAATGAGTACGCTGCCTAGTGTCAATAGTGTGTTACAGAAATTAAAAAAAAATCCTGGCAGCGGGCGTGCATGATAGTATCGCATTTCCGGTCAAGTTCAGTTTAATGTCGAAAAAAGTGTTTCTTAAGTAAGCGCATAGATTAATAAACAACAGATGGGTCGATATTTAACGTATGGGATATCTTACTCTATGCTAATAGGACTGGTTTTAAATAAACTCGAATTCTTTTTTCAAATATTTCCTCTTCACGTGTCATGTTTCGACAACTGATTCGATGACATAAAATTGAATATAGAACCCGCCAAAAGCAAATTGGGTTCATTAACCTCGATTATTGACACTTAAAAAGGCGCGAAAAATTAGTAGCATTAATTATTTTTTACATGACAGCTCTATGAGCGGAAGCTGCGATCTAATTCTATCGATTTTTTTATTTATATTGGTGATATTAAATTAATTCAAATAGTCTAATTCTGTTTTTTACTAACATATTTGTAAAGGAGTGCGATATATAACGTTAATTCGATTATTTTACAACTCTACGCGAACTACTCTTTGACGTGTGTGCGCGCGCATCCAACCGTACGAGCATTTTATTAACCTCATACAAGCATTATGACCCGGCTGCGCTTGTCGTTAATCTACCGCGAGCAATTGCCTGCTCATCATTATTATATATAAAACACCTTAACAGTAACCTAATTGTTTGTAACAATTTCCATTTGCAGCTGTATGTATTGAATTCTTTGTTTGTTTGTTCACAGATACGCCAAGAAAAACCTTATTACATAGCAGACCCAGAGGTCGACTCATTAGTAAGTATACCACGTTTTATTACGTCCACAAAACAACCAAAAGACAAATAAAATACTAAAGATCAGTTTAATACTTTATAAAACGGTGAACATTTTATAGTTCACCTCTCGAGCGACCAAATAATTTACGATTTGATTAGTTAAAGAGCTGTCTAAAATTAACCACAGGTAAACGAGAAATATTTCTCGGAATAACAAAATAAGGGAATAAGATTTAAAAAACATATAAAATGTCACTCATAAAAAGCTGAATCGCACCGTGCGCCTCCCGCGGCTAGCGAGGACAAAAAGTGAAATAATAAAACTAAGATGGCGGCCACCCACCGCCGCCGTTCGACACGGGTACTTAACCGATTTTTAACAAATAAAATCTAAGGCATTACGAATTGCCGGGCAGCGGGGGCAGCGCGCACCGTGTTTGACTTTGTTACAGAAATCAAATTCGATTAAACCTCGGCCATAGCCCCATCGGCGAGGTGAAGATGCCCCTATAAAAATATTACAAGCCATAAAAAATTACTGTTGTAAAATTACTCTACTTTCAAATTACCAATTAGTGTATAAGATTAATGTACCCAATTAACACATAAGCACCATAATAACGCAACTCAGGAATGTTAAACACAATATCACCGAGTTCAACGACATAAATCAGGCTTATTAAAATAGAATTAAAAACAGTAGCACGACGGCGACGTGACGCCATAAACTAAGATGTCAGTTTTACCTGCAACACGGTACTGATAAGCGCCATTCATGCACTGCTCGAGTTTTAAAGCAGCTCAGATAAGAAGCCCAAACATATCCAACGACATCCGGGCACAAAACAAACTTTGCCTCGAAAATGGGTAAATTTCGGTTTTTGTCCCGGCGCCCGAGACATATGGTGCCACTGTGCTGGTACACATGTTTGCACAGTGCGTCGATATCACATTGTCGTCTCCCAGCTAATACTCGTACTTTCCCTAACATTAACACCCGCTATTTGAAACACAATGTAATGGTCGTCGTAAACTGAATTTCTTTGCGTCCAAGCTTATCGAATTGAGTTTTCAATCATTTCTTTCACCAGTTTTCAGTATAATTTGCTTCAATTAAAATTCCACAGGCCTTGTGTGAGGTATTCGCAAGCGATATGTATGCATGAGCGGCCACATGTCCATTTTTGTTGTACAATTTGTGTCAATTTAGACCTTATAGTGGTAAAGGACAGTTAGGTGTTGTCGATTCGATGGAAATTCCACAATAACGCCCGCGGCTGTTGTTTTTGTGTGGCCAACTGTCGACTCCTTATAATTGCGGTTATTGTCCACATTCAGAATATTCAGCGGGAGCAGTATTATTGTCGCTAACAAGACACTGAAGAGCCGCTTGCAATGTGTCGGCTCGCGGCGCGCGGCGCCCAGTTGTCACCGTTGACTTTTGCCTGGCCCCGTTTATATGTCGTTCATTTAGCTTTTGTGATCTCAACATTACTATTTATATCTCTTTGTATACTCCATAATGTTTTAGTAGTACGTATGAGTACATTAATATGATGAGAATCATTTATATGCTGTAGCGTTTGTTGCGAGAGGCACGGCAAGTTATTTACAGACGTATGTTTATACCACCAACGCAATGATACTGTTGTTTATCTCTGTCTGTTCTTATTTTTGTTGCAAACTTGACTAATGTTTCTTTTATTTTAGTACAGCTATTTCTGCTTTACTAAAGTAACAATTATGAATATTTTACTTTTAATTGCATATCAAGTTTGCATTTAAACATTTATTGGAGGTCGTAATAATAAATATGGTACCTAAATATAAAAACTTGATTGACTGAATAAAACTGATATATCTGTACATAATTCTATTTCAATCTAATTGAGATCAAAATGGATTTAAAAATAATATTTATCTTAATGCAAATGTAGACGCCATTTTGTAAAATAATCTATGACGCGTTCAGTTACGTACTCAAGTTCGCCAACATTAAAAACAAACTGCGTAATCTATGGTCGTCTTTGTTTAATCTAAAGATTGTATTTTGACATGTTGCCATTATAAAAAAAGATGGAGAGTGTATTTTCTAGTGGAGCCAACACGATAGTTTTATTTAAAAACCAACAGTGGATATTTATTGACCGCATTTAGGATTGGTTACGGCGAGCCGTGACGACGACCCGTGGCTGTTTGCTCATGTCGCATCTGTGTTTGGCTTGTCACTGCTTTTTGAGGCATTAAACTTCGTCAAATATTGCTGGGCGTGCAGTAGCATGAGCAAACACGGATCTTTTACAAGTCATTAGTAAGTGATAGGTGGGGTTAGTGTTATGATTATACACGTTTAATGTTCTTATGTTTTTTTAAGATTTGTGCTGGCCAAGGAAGTTTCCTATAGTGGAATAGTTTTGACATGTGAGATTTTTTAGCTGTTCGTTGAAGTGTTACATTACGTTGTTAGTTATTTAAATAAAACACCATTAAGCAAAATTAATTCTAATTTTGATTTCCGTACTCATGGAGTGAGTTAGACGCTTTGATTTTCTTCTCCTTTGAAGAATATTTCTTTGTTTATAGTTATAAATTTGTATAAAGTACATGTAGTAATTGTTTTACAATACATTGTTAGAATCACTATTAGATAACAAGGAAATTGCTAGATTTTAAATTTTCCTTGAGTTTTCTGGTTGTATGCAACAGTTTTCTTACATTTGAAATGATCATAATGTGTCTTCTCAATTATTCTGAAGTACCAGGACTGCATAACGCTCAAGTAGGCCTGTAATATCAATTAAAGCTGTGGATGATAGCGCCACCCTTATGTTTATTCAGACATCAACACAAGCAGATAAAATGTGTGTAACATCGCTTACACTTGCATCGCCACTGTCTGTTTGTCCAGAGGGCGCATTTAACGAAATACTGGGATCCGTGTTGTTAAGTGGCTTAATATTATTTAGTGAATCTTTACTAGCTTGTCTCTGCTGATCTTTGTAAGCAATAATGTCTTTATAGAAGCCAGATTAGAGACCAAGTTGACTAGTACAATGACTGTAATAATTATGATGACTAAATTATTTCTATTATGTAGTAATATTGGACCATATTATATATATCTTATAGACTAGACATAAAAATAATTATATCTAATTCTAAAACTTGAAAAGAAAAAAAGTATGGATACAATGAGAGGTACAGTCATCTGACAGATGGTCAGACAAAATAAACACATCTCAGAGAACTACCGAAAATAAGTGCACCAGAGAAATCGCAGAGTGGACACCTCGTTATAGTATTAAAAGAAGAAGATAATGGACAGACATAATAGTCAGATGACATAAAAACTTATGTAGCTCACTAGGGACGAGATTTGCTAAAGAAAAACGAGATGGATCTCACTTGAGAAGCCATTGTCCAAACACACTGAACAGGAGACCGGTGTCACAATTGAAATATGTAAATAAAATTACTATTTAGTAAATAAAGGTTTTAGTGGAACTGAATAGAGTTCAAATTTATATAAACGTATAGCACTAGCAGCTCCTACCAGATTTATATTGCCAAAGAGAGAAACACGAGCGATGAAGGTGAGTGTTGATGTACGTCGGCAAAGGAACGTACGAAGGAAGTTTCCCTCTCTGCCACACGATGGACCCTTTCATGAATGATGATGTAATTAAGAAGTAAGATCTATAATTAACGTGATACCAGTATACAATATAACATCACTGTAAGAGCCAATTCAAGAGAATAATCCTATTATAGTTAGTCTTTCGAGTGAGTGTTATTTCCACTACTTGTGCAAGTAACACTTGTAAATCATCAATCAAATGTGAAATAAGTCGAACATTTTGATAATTGGAGCCGCGTCTAGGCAATCAGAAACAAATCATTGCGCTATTAAAACGGCATTAAACCGGCTCTTAGATGCGTATCGATTTGAAAAAAGCGAGCGATTACATCTCTAAATAGAATCAAACAATATGCTTTGATAGGATCTGTGTGGAATCCGTTGGGCTAGTGCCTTCTGTCTAGTGTTGGACTCGGTTGTCGTTGGAGAAGTTCGTGTTCATAGACTTTCGGAGATAGATGATGCCTCCTCTATCCATATGAAAACTAAACAGAGCTTGTGTGTTTGGAATTAAATAACTGAAAGGAATACTTAAATACATTGTTTTTGTGTAATTATGGAAATACACAAATTGTGGAAATACTTATGATTGTAAATGTTTATATCGTGTAAGAATTGAACCCGCAACTATCGATACGACCAAGTGAAAATTTAAACCGCAACCTGTCGAAGTAAAGGGATGATAAACCGCTAGACCATTGTGGTCAAAAATTACGACATATACGCACATAATCAAAGTGAAAATCATTTAATCATTTAGTTAGATATTTATATTATTTTTGTTATTTCATTTTTACATGAACGCGTCCAGATGGAGGCCAATAGACTCGTTCTCAATTCCGAATTAAATTGTAATGTTAACGTAACATTTTAAAACTATAATTGTATTCAGAGTAGCTACTGTTTACAATTGCGACGGAGTTAATCGGCCTCACTTTACATATCACTCGCACAATTAATCCACAAAAATGTTTACACCGAGTTGTCATGGGCGTTTTGCCAATCAGATTCCCTCTTCTCGGAATCAAACTTTGAACGAACGAATTCATGACAATTCACTGAACCTAGACGCAATTGTAAAGAAGTAAGATAAAACGCTCATTAAACACTGTTACATTATATAGTTGACGGGCTCGGTGGTATAGCGGTTTAACATAACGATTTACTTCTCGTCGCGGGTTCGATAACAAAAGTTACAGAGTGTTTTAGATAGAAATAGAGTAGAAGTAGAGTAGATACAGGTAGACTTTGTATAAAGTCATCTGCATGGGTATCTCTGTCTCATCTATTTCAGCCACCAAGCAGTTAATTGCTGTGTTTCTTTGGAAAGGATGAGATGTGGCAGAAGAATTACAGGATACGGTACTGCGAAACACTTTAGTGTAAGCATCACGTGCGTCACATGATAACGTGATGTCAGTTGTGCTGATCATGTATGTAGGCGACGATTACCACTTATATACCATTCCAATTACAAAAAAAAATCGTTAAAAAATCAGGTCCATAATGTTAATTGAATTTACAATCGTATAATAATTATTATTTAAAAATCGCCTGTGAGGAACTGTTGGCATCCCTACGCACCGCAGGGCACCGCTGTACTTTGCCCAGCCCATTGTTGATCACTTGCCTTTATGCGATTGAGCTCTGAATCGAGACATCCATAATATATACCATAAACTTAATTCATATATCCTCTTGTGCATTACTAAATATATTTTATCTCTTTACAGATGGTGCAAGCAATACAAGTACTACGGTTTCACCTATTAGAATTAGAAAAAGTAAGTAAAAGTTTTTTTATTTTTAATATGAACAGAGTGGAATACATTTGGATGATCGACATGAAAACCCGTTTCGGAAATATCACGTAACAGCGTTTCGATTATCCTACGGCTCGATTCGGTATCGAGATATGGTATCGATCTCGCGGTCGCACGCAACGGCCGCACGCACACCGGCCATGTGAATACGAGACGAGTTCCGATGTGGCCAGTTCACGACTTACAATTCTGATGTTCCAAATTTAAATTTTGAAAAATGACTTGAATTCGGAACCGCTGTAACAGGCGGCCACAGGCGCGCCGGTACGACGCTGTAACAGGTTCTCTACTGTTGTTTGCCACAGGCGCGCCGGTCGTGTGTCGCATCGTACGACAGTACTCTCGAAACGTTCCAATTGTAACTCTGAATGGAAACAAGCTTGGTTCTCTACTGTTGTTTGTTTTCCTTTTATCTCCCATTTCGGCGTGTTCCGTTCGGGAACCGGTCCAGTTTCTTGCGTGTGTCGCATCGCGAATTCGCGCCATTATACTCTCAATCGAAACGTTCCAATTGTAACGGTAACACGGCAGGGACTTCCTTCTATTCTAAATCCTTTTCTGTCCGCTGTTTTGCTTGTATTAGTATCAAAGTCTCGAACTTTAAGTTCATTTGCGCGTAGATATGGCATTATTAATAATGTATGGCATGTTTATATTTTATTATATATATTAATAGATATATTTATGTACAAATGTATATTTATGTTCATTACGGCACCACCTACTATTTTCTTATTTAATGTTACTTTCTCTACTGGTAGTCTGGAAGAGATTGCTTAGCGATAAGCCGCCTTTTGTCGTTTATGTATTATATCATTTTGTGTGTTTTCTTTGTCTGGGCAATAAAAGAATAAAATAATTTAACAAAGAATTAATTTAACTTGTCAATATTATGGTCACGTTTCAACAAAACTAGTTTGACTAACGTCTATATCAAGACGAATGATCTCGAGAAACGAGATATGTCGTACGCTCGTTCTCACAGCGGATTCCATAAAAATATCCGGCGTCGGCATTGATCGGACTAGAGGTATGTTAGAAACCGGTAAATTCGGTGAAAAAAAGTACGTACCAATACAAAAAGCTCGCTCTGTAACGAGATAACCTGTAATGCGATACCTCTGTACGAATCGCTGGCCGGAGGGCGAGATAAAAGCCATTTAAAAAAATAAAAATAATACGCCGCTCGAAATTCAAAATATCGCCCTGAGGGCCGAACTCGATTGGAGGAAAGCAGTCGAATCGTTGACTCGATATAATGAATCTGTTATATAGAATGCTATTGTAGTACGCACAAGAGCCTATATTACAAGTGTATATTATATCTATATATAGAGTTTCTGTGTCAGTTATCGAAAAAATAATTTTTTGCTCGACTCTCATATCCTATACGTCAGTTTTTATCTTGTCTAGGTTTTTTCATTAAAAAAAAAAGAAAAAGATGCCGTTACTTCGATCCATTTCCGCTTCACTACCCACTATTCACAGGTGATCTTTTTTCTGCTTTATAATAATTAAAAATAAAAAACCATTCCAACTCGCGCACACAATAAGATCTCGTTAAGTGTACTGTTTTTTATCAGCCTTTTCTCCATAATTGTTGAGTTTGTAATAAAAAAAAGTACAAAGATCTCATGAAGAATAACAAACGTCCTGTTTGAAAAAAAATGAATTTTCCACCCAAGTAGTGTTGTGCGCGTTCACAATGACGCAATAGAAAAAATCGCTCAGCACTCTCATCATGAGCGACTTTAACGAACTCGATTACATTTACATTAAAATATCCAATAACATTTTTGATTTATGCTCTTAATATTTTAAATACGGCCGCAGGCGGACGCATGCGCCCATATCGTAGTCCTTTTCGGTGGCGCGATCGGCCCCGTGATTGGTCGCTAGCTAGTTTTTTTTTTAATATAATCACGCTTCATGCATCGTCCATCCAGCCAACTCTTTCCTAATTACATTGTCTATACCTTCGGATTCTTCGAGTATTTTTTTTTTGGGTCATAATAGAATGGTACACTCGGATGCGCTAACGGTTTATTCGGGCGGGGCACCAGTGGAGGATGATAAGATGAGCATGAGTCAGATCAGATTCACTAGGAATATATCTCGATGGTTTCCAGGGGGTACCATCAGGTGGAGGTCAACCTGATATAGTCAATTGGGATTGTTAGTAATGTGGACTCATGACCCATTGCTAGCAATGTACCATGTCAGATCGACCTCACGCGGTTCCCCCTGGAAACCATCGTGATACATCCCCGGTGAATTTGTCACGTTGGGCTAACTGATCTGACCTCATTCTCATCTTATCATCCTCCTCTGGTGTCCCGCCAGCGTAAACCGTTAGCGCAGGCGGGTGCACCATTTCATTATCATATACCTACAAAAAAAAAAATTGCTAGCAATGGGGTTATTAGTCCACTTAATTAACAATCCCCTTTCTCCTCTTGGAGTATCCTACGATATAAATATAATCATCTTGCGTCACTAAATAATGAGTTTTATGAAGCTGTAATACGAACTCTTTTAGCATGGCATATCGTGCAAATGCGATTTTGTTTGTTGATGAAAGTTTTTCCTTATGTACAAGACCACTTAAATAAAAAAAAAAACAATTTTTAAAAAAAATTGTTACATTTTTAATTTTTGTCACAAAAGTTGTTTGTTATATAGATTAGAGTTTTATTAAAAGAGAAAGTAGGTGTGCCACCAGATATCTATACTCTATACATATAAAAGAAATTGGAGTGTCCGTTTGTAATATTAAAATAACCGTTTTTTACTACATGCATATGAATATAAATACGGTACATACACCAAAATATAATTTTTTACAATTTTTGTCTGTCTGTCTGTTTGTTCTGGCTAATCTCTGAAATGGTTGGACCGATTTTGACGTGAATTTTATTGCCAGGTAGCTGTTGTAATAAGGAGTAATTTAGGCTACTTTTAATAAAAATATACATAATAATAATTTTAGAAAAATAAAGATAAATTCCACGCGGACGAAGTCGCGGGTACAGCTAGTAAAACATAGTTTTAATTAGTCTGTGGTTATACGAGTAATGTCCGAAATTCTTTTTTTAAATTTTCATAAGAACGCTGTAAATTCATATAAAACATTATTCTTAGTGTGTGATTATAATATTCTATGTTCGAATTTCAAATTTCAAAACAATCAATATGGCCAGCAACAGACATCTTAGTTCGTTTTTCAAATTGCCGCGTAATTTTATGTAAAGTTTTGTTGATATTAAATAATAGCGTACTATAAAAAGCCGTTATTAAAAAACAACAAACCAAACACGAGTTGTATATATTTTTTCATATTTTGTTTCTAACTCGTAAACGTTATCTGGAACAACGTGGCTAAGTGATTTACGATGTAGGTCAGATTTGTTGGTTTACGGGCCGAGCCTCGAACTTGGGACCCCGGTTTATGGCGGTTGGACCGCCGTTTTATAACATTTATACAACGCTCTCTAATACTGTGACTGAATTAATATATTTCGTTACGCGATACGACACGTGACCGTTAATTTATAAAAGAAATAACATGTATATATAATTGGATTTCGTTTTTTTTTAATTAGGAACTGGATGGCAAAAAAAAAATACGGCCAATTGTTTGCTAGATATATGTTATCTGTGTACCGATGTGAAGTCAGGTGAGAAGCAATCGAGGTCTCATTTGAATGTGGGATGTTCGACCGGTTGATTTTTATTCATTAAAAAAATAAAAGAAAGAATCCGGGCCCTGCGCGCGGATCAGAAATGTCGGCCAAATTATGCGTTTGTATATTGTATATATATATAATCTACATACAAATGTGTGTCTGTATATATATAGAAAAATTTGTAGTGTTTACTATATAGTATACTAGCTAGGATTTTGTAGCCTATATGTTATTCTGATGCATAAGCTATATTACTGTAAAGTTTCATCAAAATCAGTTCAGTAGTTTTTGAATGAAAGAGTAACAAACATCCATCCATACTCACAAACTTTCGCGATTATAATAAGATAGTGCTATTTGCACTTGCACTTTTTGTAGATTATATTTAAAATAGTTTGTAAAAGACGAAGTTACTTCACACTTGATATTTTCTAAATTGAATTTTGACGTAGGTAATACTCTGGAAATTTATTATTTTAATAAACGTTTCAATGTATACGGCATCTAGTCACACCCACATAGCGCATTAGCTCAGAGGAAGTGGCTTATAACGAGAAAAAACCCTTTTAGTTGCGAATCGACCGCGACTCAGATTGCGACAGAGATCTTATCTGGCCCACGCTTCTGGCATCACTCGTACCAGTCCGTAGGTACCTATATACAGCAAATACTTAAAAAGTCTCAAAATACTCCGCTATAACATCTATCAGATAGCGTTGACAAGAACCCTGAGACATAACTAATAAAAAAATATAAACTAAACTCGTATAGCAATACAGTCACAAATTCAAATACGCGTTCTATTTTTGAATCCGTTCCTTCGATTCTAAATTCAAAAGAATGACAGCCATCCGAGTAGGGAACGTCTATACGTCAACGAACAGCCATTATATCACATTTCATTCCAAGTTTAAATAAAAAGTATTCGTTCAGAAACACACCATATCTCAATCCGTGAGTAGCCCATTCCAAATTTAAATTTCTGGAAAGAGTTTGATGTTCGAAACGATAATCGGGCCGAACTGAACTCGGAATGCCGTAATATCTCATTAAAGGCATTACAGTTTACTAACAACGTCGCATATACAATAAGTTTCACACGAATATAACTCTTTGGTCGGAGGACACATGATTTAAATTGTCGTGGAACGGGTCAATGTTACATCTTTACTAAATTATCGAGAAGACAGTTCCAAATTTGAATATCCTCGAAGAGTTATGATGTCAAATCTCGGTGACTGTCAGTAAAATCGAAAATAGTGTCGGCGTCATAGCAATGGGGATTAGAATCGAATTTTATTTTGAACAGCGTGTTTACACTGTCATCTTTGTGAGCTTATAAAAGCGCTCTCAATCAAAACTTTGACAGTGACAGGCGTGCCTAAAACCACCATGCGTGGCCGCTGTGCGCGCGAACGCCGCGGCATCGTTTATACGGTCTAGTAGGTACCAATAAAGTTCACACAGCCATAAATATGAATTTCAACGGTCGGTTGTAAAATTCAAATTATGATAAACAAACTACAATATTTGGCCACACGGAGAGGCAGCGCGTGCGCATTTATAGCGGCCAATATAATGTAGAAAAAGCTGTCGATTGGGGAATTAGCGGTTCGGTGAGATAATTAGCTGTCAACGGCGGCAGTGTTGTTTCCGTTTCCTGCGCGTCCCGTTGATTCTATTTCCAAATCCGCCAGGAGCCCAAGACGTCGCGAGCTGAGGGCCGAGGGCTGCGTGCGCCAGAGCCGTCGGCCCGGCCCCACCTGCCGTTTTATTACGTTTCACCGTGTAAATTCAGTCTAAAAATTTCGTTAGTCTTTTTATTGCCTTATGTTAATTTCTAAGCTAATTATGCCTATGAAAATTTATAAGGCCGACGCACAAAATTAATACACGCGCACCGGGGGCCTTATTTTATCGGAGGAATAGAAAAAAGAGAGTTTCGGTCCTTTTTTACGATTCATTTCGAGTTTTTACGAATGTGTGGAGCGCGAGGTGTAGCGACAGTTGGACCGGCTCGAATGCGTCCAAATGTATTCCCTTTGTTTCATGTTGTCTCGTTTTTTGTCGCGAGCTTTGTATGCTGATACTAGTGTAAAGGTCGCGGGTTCGACTCCCGCCTGTTTAGGCCAACTGACAGTTAGATGCTGCTGAACTTGCCGTTATAACTGTACGATTCGCTGGGAACTTCAACTTTCAGATTTCCTTAGAAATAAATGTGCAAGAGAAATCTGCACGGAGCATGTCGTGGACTGTTTGATTTTGTAATACTAGCAAATTATGTATTTATTATTTATTAAAACTTCAATACTCATGGCAGACTTAGTAGATGATGCTTGTTGATGACTATGTTTGTTTGTTCGTAGTAGTTCATCATAATTCAATATAATTAAATGAAATCGTGAAGGTACAATGGCAGTGAAATTACAGAGTACGGAGCATCAACTTAGTCCTCAATGGCAACGCATGAGGAACAATGAGCCTCACATGTAGAGGTGCTGTTCATGTATATACACATCTACTTTCCATCACGAGGCGCATCAATTTTTGCCATTGGAAATTCTTGAAGAGAATACAAGATATTGAGTGTATGGGTGATACAGAACACTCATCTCAATAGGATCTCTTTGAGTAAATCTGAAGCAAAGTAGCAGTCTTCAAACCGAGACACAGCTTAAATGCAGATAACTTGGTACCGAGTCCATTGCAGTAAAAATCCCAATGGATAGCATTTCTTCCAGTCAACATTTGCAGTGTATAGAGACGGCTGCCTCAATGTAAGTCCGTTGTCACCAGGTACACGAGCTGTGCGACAATTTCTGCCACCGCTACATCAGCTGTCTGAAGGGCAAGATGCCCATCGACCTGGTGATCGACGAGCGGGAGTCCGCGCGGCCGCCCGACGCCAACGGCGAGCCGCGCTCCGCCCCCGACAGCAGCCACGACGGCGCCTCCACCCCCGACGTCGTGAGTACCCCCTATAGCAAATCCCATCTCATTCAGAGGCGCGATCCCCAGCTAGCACCCAACTCAACCACGAGTTATCTCGTGCACCCCTGTTCTTAGTTTGGCCATTGCAAAAACGAAGTCTTTAAGGGGGTGCTCGCATTTTAGTTTCAAATTCCCGCCTCCCTTGCTTGTAACACCGCGTTCCTGCGACGTGAGCGATCTGTCTGCAGGAGCGCGGCGCCGCTGACGGCCTCCCGAGATCTTGTGGCGCTCCAGCCCAAGCTCGACGGCGGTCGCTAGTTTAAGTTCCTTAGAACAAATCTTCGTTTTTGCAATTGGCCAACCTCTTACCACTGTACGATTCAATATGATTGAATTTTCATTTAAAATTACCTTCTCAAAATTTGAACATCACAAAACGTTACAGTGAAGGGGTGAATACGGGTGCAATCTGAATTGTTCGTTTCCGACATGAACGGCTCTTATCTGCCGTAATCGATTGTGACGATTTTTTGACGATTATGTGTTACGTAATCGAATATACGGCGCCTATATTCGATATATGTTTTGCACCGGAATTATGTATACGATTGAAAAAAAAACATACGTATAACGTTGATTGTAATATGTGTATACTAATAATAACTACGTTTAGTGTGTAACTTGCAGGTGTTTCTAAGTGAACCCTTCTAAGCCATTGTTCTTGTCACGAGAGGCACAAACTAATTCCAACGCCATAAAACTTAGCTACGCGTTTCCGAGCTTAGATTAAAATAAAACGTAATTAGATTGTATTTAATAATAAAAAAAAAACTATTTGAAAACGAAGTATACGTAAAAACACAACTTTAACTTGCCTAAGTGAGATAATAAGATTTAATTAAGAATTTTAAATTATTGTAATTGATTTAACGGTGGTAGTTGCTAGAGTGTTATTGTTTTGGCTAGTAAATACATCATTATATACGTAAATAGTTAATATTCGCCGATTATTACGTTTATGAGATAGAAGCACGAGAGTTTAGTTAGTGAAAACAAAAATACGTATACAGTATACGGTAGGTGTAATGTCCGAGATTAAGGCAAGTGAAGCCGTGGTACAGCATGTAGTGAGGCATCTAGTGCTTGCTGAGACAACGCAAGGCACAACACTACGACGTGCTGACGTCACTGTACACGGCTGAATAATGTATGTGCGTTATATAGAGATCTAGTTGCTTCTACAGAATATATTATAAATTATTAGTCGTGGCGTTGATTGTGTTCGGGATGCGACGGTACATTTCTCCCCTTTCTCCTCTATAATATAAAACGTACGTAATGTTAGATATACTAAGATAATTACTTTTATTGCCGTATTTTTGTACATGTTGGTTATATTGAAATTGATAGTGTTTCGTCCGATTTTTACACCGATACTGGTACATCACTAAATGTAAACGTAACTTAATTATATGACGCTCCTTGTCACTCCGTTCCAAATACGAAATATGTATTAGTATATTTTTGTTGACATGTAAAATAGAACCATTGCATCATTGTAATTGAGTTGATTTTCGTTAGCTGGAAATGGAATTTCGTATTTCGAAAACGAAGAAAGAATCGTAACGTTGCGGTCTCTTCTCAAATTTTCAATTTCAAACAGTCAGTGACTTATTCAATTTTAGAAGTTCTATTTTTAAATTATTCATTTACAGAGTTAGTTATAAATAAAAATAAAATATATCTAATATTTGTATAACTTATCCCAATTATAATATTCGAAATTTGAAATTATATTTTTTAATACTTTTCATTTGGAAAATGTTACTTTACAGTCGGGTTTATATGAAAAATTTATAAATTATTTTTAAATTTCGAATATGTCTCTTGGGGAAAGTTATTCAGTTTTATGAATATTATCATTAAGTTTACAGTTGTTACAACCTTTTTGTCTAAATTTGTTTAAAAAAGCAATTACAACATTACGATTCCTTGTAAGGAGCGTTTATAATAGTGAAAAGAGGTGTGGAGTACATTTTAGTGATGACCACACTGGAATGTAAATAAAAAAGTAAATAGTGATGTACCAGATAGGGTTGCTACTCGGGGCTATAGGATTGGATGGCATGTCTCAATAATTTCGCTGTACATGTCACAAACATGAGTATTTCAACATATTTGTTATTTTTAAGTAATATTTTGGGCGTTGAGACTGAATTGTTTTGTTTGTGTTATATATTATTATTTGCCAATTTGTTAACATCGCGGCTATAGTACCAGGAGCACAGAAATCGCTAAGTGTCAACCGCGGGGCGTGTAATTTTATTAATCTAAATTTATTAATTATTCATTATCTGTATATGAGTTTTTAACATAAAATTGTGTAGTTAAATCATATCTAAGTTAGGTTATAGATTACGCATTAGGTTTCTCATTGTCTGAAACTTAATTTCATAAATCTAACTCGTAAATGTATATTAATATGCTATTTGGTGTACGGCCATCTTGTATGTCAATGTGATTAATTTTATAATTTTATTTTCTGAACGGATTAAACAATAAAATGTTCTGTTTGAAATTATATAGTCGTTTTGCTTTAACACCAACGATCTAGTGCTGAATTGAAGATACTTAGGTTGTAAACTTAATGTTTTAAAAAATACTAGATGTATATGGAGTGCTACTGAGAGCTGATGATGATTTATTGTCAAGGAAAGAATATATATGGAGTACCTGATTTCTTTTCAAGAATATTACACTCCACAACTCATGGTTGCCTGGTAGAAAATGCCAGTAGGTGTTAAGTCAACCATATGTACTCGTTTACTTATGTATGACGTGCATTAAAGTTATTTAAATAAAAAAAAAATATTATCCAATTCTTTATTGATAAATGACAAGAATTTTTTTTAGAAACAATAATAAACTCAAATATTTATTGTATACATATTAAAAATTCATAATAAATCTATTACAATATATATAATAATAAATAGACTGGTGTAGACGTTCTAAGACACGAGTAGCAGTATAACAGTACGACAACATCTGATCAGCCATAGCAATCTAAGAGTGCAGTGATCCAGACAACGAGAGCGCGGTGCAGGAAGAAAGCTTAAATGTAATATGGTATTTTTATCATGTCTGAGTATTCTATAACGCGGTGGGGTCCCCTGGCGCGCGGGAAAACTGGAAAATTGTTTCTTTACGGCACCCCGCGCGCTAATCTTTTGTACGCCTCGGAAACCCAAGCAGCGCTCATAAAAAAACATGGCGGAATCTTTTCACGAACCACCGCGACAATCTGATATTTTATTTATTTTTTATAGTCTGCCATTGACGTGTGATGGATGCCAATTGGAGGGTTGTACTCGGCAAATGAGGGGACCCTTTAATTGTTGCAAACTTGATGTAAAAAAATACGCGCTTAAAGTTAAACGTTGTCTATTCTAAGTGAGGTCCGAGGAAGGAAATTTGATAATGGCGTAAAAAACATTGTCTATTCTAGACGGGGTTCAAGAAAGGAAAAATAACAAATTAACAATAGTGCGTATATTGTAGGACACACAATGAATAATGTAGGAGAATGAAAGGAGGGCATAAGCAATAAGAGAAATAATAATATAAGGGGACAAATCCGGGATTTGGCCGGGATAGCTGGCAATTCGTCACGGATTCGTCGCGGTGCGTGTGACGTTCACGATACCATACACTGGAGGATTTTGCCACCGACTATAACCCAATCCTTGTCTATGGGCACAGAGGAAACAATATTCGCGTGACGAAAAATAACAACTACAAATATGTATCGCATTCAGGACCATAAACAAAAGTAGGCAGTTTTTCTATAATGACTTCATGTTGTAATATGAAAGAGTAATTTTAATCTGTAATGTCGTTATCTGTGGAGAATTTCTCTATATTAATATGCTGATGACTCAGTAGCCACAGTCAATAAATATTTTTAACAAATCTATGAATTTCATGTTTAAAAGTGACGGTTTCTAGTTTCTGTCAAATCAAAATAAATTTATTCATATAGTTCTATTACAGACTGCTATGATAAGGGAAATCTACCATCAGTTACAATTGTGGTTTGAGCAAAGAACAACTGACAACAAATTCTGTTCTGTTTTTAAATAAATACAGATTAATACATAAAATAAGGTCAAGGTTAAAATAAGGTTTTTTCTTCCTTAATTTTATCTAAAATCTAATAAAACTCTTGCATTACAAACTAAGCTACACAACACTACGTTCCGATCTATTACTCGTAAAGGACTGATGTGGGAAGGAAGACGGCCAGACTGAAGTGGGAGTGAGCAAGTCATGCATCTATAATGCATTTGGTGAAGTAGGTCAAACTCATTACTTATTGAATATCAAGCAATGCGCATCCAAGCTGTGGTGGACTAACGCGTTAGACGATGATTTGGATAATTTTGCTGGAAAAACAACAATTAGGAATTACACGGACTGTAATCACAATTGGCATGAACTCTCAGCAAAATTTCTGCCAATCAAATAATGAGATCTTCAAATAAATAGCATATGTATATACGAGTACATTTCTTAAATATACCACTAACGTACCATTATTCTATTAATAGGGGTGTTTATGGAGGATGGTAGTCATTTAGCATTAGGTGAATCGTAAACTCGTTAGCTATTTATGTTATAAAAAAGAACAAAGATTTGGGCTAACCTACTATAGATATATACATTTAAGCTAAGGGTTTTGCCTTTAGGGACAAAATAAAAAAAAACTTTCAATTTCAAAAATAATGTCTACCGATTATAGAAATATATAAGCTAAGTCTTTTGCCTTTAGCGACAAATTAAAAAAAAACATACAGTTTAAAAAAATAATTTCTCTGTATTACACTATTATTAGATGACATGCAGGTTTCCGTCACTAAGAAATATTTTGTATGAAAATGTGGTAATAGTGTTTTTTTTTTGCACGTCATGTTTACAAGTACTTGTTGTTTGTTTGAAGGTTTTGTATATGTATTTTCATATGCAAGCCCGCTTAA